CTCTCTCTCTCTCTCTCTCTCTCTCTCTCTCTCTCTCTCTCTCTCTCTCTCTCTCTCTCCCACTCAATCTTACTCTCTCTCTCGTTTTCTCTATCTCTTTCTCCACTTCTTCCCCTATCCACACACACACACATAAATAAATGAAAATAAAGAATAAAAATAAAAAACAAATAAATAAATAAGAGAATGAAAAATATACACATTCAGACACCTCTCTCTCTCTCATGCATAAATGTCTGCATTCCGTTTTCTCTCGTGTAACGTCACTGTGCATGACGACGGCGCTGAAAAAAGAAGAGCATTTTCTTCGCAATTTTCTTTATTTCCTCATGCTAGCTGACCTTGAACCACGTGGAATCATGCATGCTTGACTCTGGGGAGGCGTGCATGGGAGGGAAGGCCACAAAAGTATGTGTCACGAAGGTGGAATTCATCTTGATTTTTTCCATCTTTCGAGGGAGGGTGTTGATAAAGAAGTAATTGCGAACTTTTGAGGGAGGGTGTTGATGAATAAATAATTGCGATCTATTGAGGGAGGGTGTTGATAAATAAACAATTGCGATCTTTTGAGGGAGGGTGTTGATAAATAAATAATTGCGATCTTTTGAGGGAGGGTGTTGATAAAAAATAATTGCGATCTATTGAGGGAGGGTGTTGATAAAGAAATAATTGCGATCTATTGAGGGAGGGTGTTGATAAAGAAATAATTGCGAACTTTTGAGAGAGGGTGTTGATAAGGAAACAAATTGTGGGGAGATAATATTTTTTTCTTCTTTATATGTCTCTGACGAATTTTCTCGGGTTTTTCATCAACGTTTTATTGTTATTGTTGCTGGTTTGATGTCCGTCAATTTTTGGATTCCGACGTAGATGATCGAAATACGGAGAGAAATCGTGCACATTGTTAGAAAGCGAAAAAATGTAGATTTTGGTCAAACGCAGCCTGTTCGTTGCTATCACTCTTCGCCAAGTCCAGAGAAAACATGTGATGACTGCCAGCTGATATTTTAATGCCCTCCCTCCCCTCCCTCCCTACCTACCTACCTGCCTACCTTCCTACCTCCCTCCCTACCTCCCTCTCTTCCTCTCTGCCTCCCTCTCCCCTTCCTTCCCCCCTCCATACCTACCTCCTCCCTACCCTACCTCTCCCTCCCCTACCTACCTACCTACCTACGTACCTAACACTCACCTCTCAATCCGCTTATCCTCACCCTCTCCTCTCCCTCCTTAAATCTCTTCCTCTTTTTACTCGTACGCTCTCCCTCCTACCCTCCCTCCTACTACCCTCTCTCCCTCCCTTCTATCTTTCTACCCTCCTTCCTCTCTCCCTCCTTCCCTCCCCCTCTCTCCTACCCTCCCTCCCTCCTCCCCTCCCTCCCTCCTTCCTCTCTCCCACCTACCTCTCTCCCCCCATCTCTCCCTCCCTCTCCATCTCTTTACCATCTTCCTCCCTCCTTCAGCCTTACCTGGGACCAAGTGCAGTCACACCCGATTGCCTTACCAGACACAACAAACGGGGGAGGGGTGGGGGTAGAGGAGGAGGAGGAGGGAGGAGAAAGGAATGAGTAGGAGGGGAGAAAGTGGAGGGGGGAGAGGAAGGGGTGAGAGGGGGGGGAGAGGAAGGGGAGAGAGGGATAGAGGAGGAAAGGGTGAGAGGGGAGGAAGAGGGGAGAGAAGTAAATGAGGAAGGAGAGAGAAGGTAACAAGGAGGAAGGGGAGAATGGAGAGAGAGAGGAGAGGAGAAGGCGAGAGGGAAAGGGAAAGGAGGAGAAGGGAAGAGGGAGATGGGGAGCGAGGTAAGGTGAGAGGGTGAGGGGAGGAGAGGGAGAGGGAGAGGGAAAGGGGGAGCGAGTTAAGGGAAGAGGGAGAGGGGGAGCGAGTTAAGGTGAGAGGGAGAGGAGGAGAAGGTGAGAAGGAGAGGGGGAGCGAGTTAAGGTGAGAGGGAGAGGGGGAGTGAGTTGGGTGAGAGGGAGAGGGAGTGAGTTGAGGTGAGAGGCAGAGGGAGAGAGGGGAGGAGAAGGGGAGAAGGTGAGAGGAGAGGGGGAGAGGGAGAGGAGGAGAAGGTGAGAGGGAGAGAGAAGGGAGGAGAAGGGAAGAGGGAGAGGGGGAGCGAGTGAAGGTGAGAGGGAGAGGGGAACGAGTTGAGGTGAGGGAGAGGGGAGCGTTAAGGGGAGGTGTTTTCGCTTACATCAGGTAGGCGACCTTGTTAACTGTAGCTCGTGGAAATATACCGTTTGCTGTTGCCAGTACATTCAAGTGTTCTGACTTAAAAGACAGCTGACACGTGCATTAAAGGGGCTGTTGGGAGATAACAGCATAATAACCCGACATACATAGACGCACACATTTTAACACACACATT